CAAGAGCCCGGCCTCTAAAGGACCCTTGGCCTCCACAGACCTGGTGACTGACTGGACTTGTGGCTTGAGTGTCCTGGGACCCGCCGATGGCGGGGACCTGTGAGGCATCCCCAGGATGGCCGAGGCTGCCCAGCCCTCTGACCGCTGCGAGCCTCAAGTGTAAAAAGTCCCCTTTCCAGACGTCAGGGTGGTGGCAGACGGTAGAGGCCGGGGCGGAGGCTGGGAGGCCGCGTCTCCTAGTTGCCGAACTGATCACTGGAAGAAGAGAAACTATGGAACGATTCGGCTCCCAGCTCTAAACCGAGTAGAGTTCTCTGATTGTGAAACTGAACACCATAGAATTTTAAGTAATTTAATTACGAAAAGAAATTTTTTTTTTTTTTTTTTTTTAAATTCTTGAGGAAGAAGCTGGAAAATAGCAGTAGCACCAGTTTAAACTTTCTAGTGTACTTTTTTGGTTTCTGGAGCGTGTGTTATGTGGGTTGTGTTCTTACCAAGTCTGACAGTGACTGTGCTGGAAGGTTGGCTGGCTGGGGACACAGTGAGGGACCTGGACCTCCTCTGGCCCCACTGACCACTAAGGATGGGGTTGTCTTAGCACAGAGCCCCAGGGAGGCTCAGGCCCCAGCTCTGCCTGGGCCTGCGCTGGCCTGGGCCTGGGGCTCCAAGCCCCCCCTGGGCAGTGAGGCCAGCTGGACACTGGGACCCAGCCTCATCCCAGCAGGGAGGACGTGTCCAGAAGCGGCCAGGTCCATCCCCCAGCTTGCCTCCCCTTCTGAAAAGGGCCCCAACAGTGCTGGCCCTACTTATGTGTCCCTGTTAGGGGCCACCTGTTGACAGTGTCGCCCTGTTACGTGACTCTTGGGCCTCGTAAAGGAGAGCTGTCTGAAAACACAGTGTTAGGGCCGCAGAGGTGGCGAGGCGGGGGCCGTGGGCGCTGTCACCTAGTTGCAAGCAAAGCCGGGAGTAGAGCCCGGCCTGCCCACGCCGTCGGGGCTGCTTTCCTCCCCAGCGAGATGCTTGTTTCCTCTCTGCGTGGCGTTTCTTCATTGTCAGAATGCTTTCACGTCGCACCTCATTTGATTGTTACTGTGACCTTGTGAAGCACACGGGGCAAGTGTTTTTTCTTCTACGAGATGAAATAAATTACTCAAAGGCAGCACATCACCACAGCTGGGAAAAGCCTCAGGTTGGACATGGCCCGACCTCAGTGTGGGGGAGGAAAGCATGTCATTTTGGCTGTCTTAGAAGACTTGTCCCACATCTGCGTGAGCGAGGTCGTCCGGCCTCGGGCTGTAGCTGAGCCTGGCCGCCCAGGTGTGCACGCCGCAGCTCCCAGCGAGGTCTGGGAGGCTGGCTGCACGGTGACTCGCTTCTTCCCCGTCTCGCGTCCTAAAGGTGGAGTCAGACACGGGCTCTGGTTTCTTGGTCCCACCGCAGTGCTGTCCTGGCCACGCAGCTGTCCGTTCCCATTTTGTTGAAGCCACCACTGGGTCCCTTACCTAAAGCGGGTGACGCGCGTCCCCTCAGAGAAGAGACCAGGGCTGCCATTCATCCAGCTCCCCCATGCGTACTTTTATTAGGCAATAGACTAGTTAAGAAGATTGTTTCTATGTACTGTATATTTTGTACCTGTTTACACTTCTAATTGATATAACTGATATTTTGAAAAACAAATGAAGAGGAAACATCCTGTTAAAATAAAACCTAACCAGCACCGAGGTGATTTGGTGGCTTCCATTCTTAGACCCGCGTCTCTGGCGCTGTTCCCTCGAAACGCGCCCCCTGAGGTGGCCGTGCGGCCAGCTCCCAGTGCCCTCCTCCAGCACCCGGTCGCCGTGGAGCCAGGGAGGCGACTGTCCCTGAGAGCTAAGAATGGAAGAGCCCAGAAAAGTGTGGATGCAGATAAACTGACATTTGCTTCGAAATCAAAGCAGCCCCGTCACTTGGCTTCAGAAGATAGTCACGGTTTGTGCAGTTTGGTCGTATTTAATTCGATGTGACGTACGTGAAGACGGGAAAGCCTGGGAGGAAAGGTGCAGAACATCAGAGGAGAGCAGGCGCCGAGCATTTCGTCCTCGTACCCCTTCCTGGCTTGGGCCGAGGTGAGGAGGGATGGGTGATGCCTGTATTTGTCATGTCCCTGGGCTTGGAGTGAAGTCCCCGTGATGGCATTTGAGCCAGGCTGACACCCCTTCCCACCAACCAGAGTTAACAGTTGCTAACTTTTTATCTCGTGTTTGAGTCTCCAGCACCACCGCCCCTTCCCAGGCCTCACGCAGCCTCTCCCTCCCTCTCAGCCACGTGCTCTGCATGCGGGAAGCATCTCATGACAGGTCCCTCGGCCATTTAGTGCCTCACTGAATGCTGACTCCTAAGCTTCTGGCTGGGCTGCGCTGCTCTCCAAGACAGAATATGGGATAGAGGTGAGGGGAGAGTTGGGTTCAGTTTCAAACATCCAGAAGGGGGTGCCCAATCAGTAGTTAGGGAGACCAGACAAGCACTACAGAACGGGAGGAACCTCGCACTGTTCCCTGACTTCTGGGAACCCTTGCTCTGCCACCGCTCGGAGGTGTCCTGCTGAGGCCAAAGCACAGTGGTCCCTTCCTATGTTCATTTCCTATTGCTGTGGTGATAAATTGCCACAAATTCTGTGGCTTAAGCCAACATAGATTTATCTTGGCCGTTCTGGGGGTCAGAAGTCCACAGGAGTCTTACAGAGCTAAACCAAGGTGCCGGCCGGGCCCGTTCCTTCTGGGGACTCCAGAGAATGTTTCCTCACCTTTCCCAACTGGCAGAGATGCCTGCGCTGTAGCACAGCGTATCCGACCCCTCGTGAGGTGGCTCCTTCCTTGTCCCCATCTGCTGCAGCTTCTCTTGCATCTCACCCTCTAAGTGAACCTGCCCCGAGCGCCGTGCTGTTCCTCGTCTCTGCACATGTTGTTCCCCTGCATACAGTGTCTCTGCTCCCCTCACCTCCGGCCCACCTGATACTCTCCTTAGCCCTCAGGTGATGGCTCCGTGTCATCCAGCCATCCCCAGTCTGTGCAGGTTGAACTGATGCCTTCCCTGTTTCTCCACGGGCCCTTGCGCAGACTCCTGTCATCTTAGTTGGCTCCCCCGACTTTGTATATAACATGTTCCTGGAAGCGTGTATAAAAAGGTGTATGTATAAAAAGGAGGCGTTGGACTTCCGGATCACAAGGCTTTATTCCCTGACAGCTATAAAACAAAGTTCCTGATTCGGCGTAATTGTCAAACTCCTTTAAACTCTGAGTATTGTACAATTTATACATGATTATTTAAAAAATATTAAAAGCACAATTTAGACATCAAATACGTAGTTAAATAATTTCTCTTTAGAAAGTTTTGATCAAAAAGTAAAAAATGCACATATTGTGTGGATTTTATACCCTGAACACACTCCCGATATTTTAAACACCTGGACATTCCAAATGGGACATAATAAACAGTCTTAAATATAGAGCTAAGACGGAAAGGAATACAGGGAAACCCAAGTGTGCCAGAAATGGAGACAAAAGTGAACACCCACACCGTAAGCATGTGAGGGGCTGCTGTACCTACCTGGAGGTGGGGGTAAGGAGAAGGGACCATAGGCCTTGGGCCCATGAAGGTATGTAGTTGGAACTGACACCTCCGGATAAAGTCCCTGGACGGCCTTGTCCTCAGAAAACCTATGCTTCAGAAAAACTTCTTCCCAGCATCAAAAGATGTGTTAGTTGGCTCCTTGTTTATCAGATGCTGAGAGAGTTTGAAGTACAAGAGGTTATTGGAGAATAAGGCCTATGAAAGGTAAAAGGAGGAGGAAGCAGGGTTTTGCAGACAAAGTCTCAGACCGGGATGCAGATCCAGCATCCGTGAATCGAAAGACGAGAGGAAGCAGGTCTGGGCAGCAGAAACAGAACGTGATGCAGCTCTGACAGAGTTTCAGCCAACTGAACTAAGGGTTGTAGAGCAAACATTGCCTCTTAGAGGAGCCCTGGGCGGGGCAGAAATGACCAGGCCCTAGGACCCCACCTGCTCACTCACTGGCTTAGGGCTGCCCAAGAAAAGTGTGGCCTTAGCTTGAAGGCCAAGGCATTTCCTGGAGATCGTAATAACTGGAACTGTCAGTCGACTGCACTCCTTGAAGTTAAATGGTAAGTTCTTGAATAGAGATCTGAGTGACTTAACTCCACAGCTGCCACAGGTGACAAAAAGCTTATCTTTCTTAGGCTGGGCTCTGGGTGATGGGAGTGGATGGGATGGTATCTTCCTTGAAAATCCCAAACCACAGCTATTACGCCGTGGAGGTTGGGATTCACAGCCACAGGGCTGATAAATTGTCTTTAAAATTGGACTTGGGCCAATGATAGCACTTGAGGTTTCTGGCTGAAGGGAATTCAAAAACAGGAGGAAATATCCCACAATCCAGACCACAAACCTGGCTCAATATAAGCTCACAGTCACAAACTGCTAAACCCACAAGGAATAGCCCACCATTAGAACACAACATACAGCAGAATCAAAAATCCAAGAACTTGAATTCATGTAAAGATCATCCAAATTAGAGCATAACGTGAATGGTTTTATAAGCTTTAAAACAGGGCAGAAAGTGGGAGAAGCAGCATGGAAAAGGCATGGTAAATAGAAATCACCAAACCTTAAAAAAAATCAACACACTATTAGAAATATTGCGGGGGAGGGGACAGAATTTCTAAATATATATTTTGTCATTGAAATTAAAAAACTCAATGGACTGGTTAAATAGCAGACCTAGACACAGCTGAAAAATGAAAGATGAGGGAAGTATGCAGGATGAAGGACAGAAAATGATGGATGGAAACAGGGTAAGTCGAGAGAATAAGTTAGAAACACGTACTACATCTATCTAATCAAATTTTCTCATCTAGAAACAGATAATTAGGAAACTGGAAAAGAAATATTTCTAAAAGAATAGCCAAAAATCTTCAAGAATTGATGAAAGACAAAAATGAAGTCTTCAAGAGAAAAAGACAAATGGACATCACAGGAAAAGCTATTAGATTGACAATAGACTCTTTTATGGTAAAAACAGAGGCCAGAAGAGATGGACTAACACCTACAAAATGGTGAGGGGAAAATAATTGTCAACCTCGATTTTATACCCTGATCAACTGTCATACATGAACACAATCAAATAAAAATGTTTTCGGAAAATAACTGAGAATGTACCATTCATAGACCGTCACTGAAAAACTACTGAGGACTATACTTTGGGAAGAGGAAACTTGAATCCAGTAAGAAGGCGAAGAAGGTAAGGAGAATGGTGAGCAAAAAAAAAATTAGTAGACGTGGGTAAATCTTAATGTGTGTTGACTTTCTAAAACGATAATAAGGACAAATCTGGGGGACACAAAACAAGATGAAACTACAATACCAGAAGACAATAATATGTAAGAAGGATGGAACATGATTTCAATGAAAGCACCCTCTCTCTGGTCCTTGTGATTTCAAGAGAAGGGCAGAGATATCAATTCCATTTCAACTTTGTAACTCAAACATACATGTTTAAAATGTTCATCATAGTCACTAAAGGAACAGAAGTAGAATGGCTCCTAGCAGAGGGAGAAAAGATGAAAAAAGATGATTAATCTAATAGAAAAGAGGAAAAAGGGAAAAGAAGCAAAGAAAATTCATGGTTAAGAAAGATCACAAAATAAGATAGAAAAAAATTCCAAATATATCTATTCACCACACACGGAAAGTAAGCTCTCCAGTCAAAAGAAAATTGTCAGAATATAAAACTAAACAAAAAAAATCCAGCTCTATGCTTTGAAGTTTTAGTGAGAAATATTAGGTCATGGTGATAGCTGCACAAATATGAACATAGCACTGAATTGTACACTTTAAATGGATGATTTGTGCTATATGTGAATTATATCTCGGTAAAGGTGCAGTTTATTAAAAGCCAAAAAAATAAATAAATAAATCCTAGATTAAAGACCTAACTGTGAAAAGCTAAATCGCACAGGTTTTAGAATAAAATATTAAGGCACATCATTAAGGCACTGGAGTAAGGAAGAAAACAAACAAACAAGACAAAAAGCACAAATCCTAAAAAGAAAAGTAGTAGATTTGATTACATTTAAATATAAATGTCGGTGCAACACCTCCCATGAAAAATGTTAAGAGAAGAGACAGATTGGGAGAAGATTTCTGCCATGTGCACAACCAACAGTGCATTATGCTGATTACAACATTTAGAAAAATAAAATGTAAACTAACACCAGTACGAGGGTGGTGGATAACCTGTTGTAAGATTAATGCACTGTAGGTGAAGTGGTATAATTTGTGGGAAGGAGGCTGTTAAAAATTAAAGATGTATATTGTAAAAATATATTTAGGGCAACCATTAAAAATGCAGTGTAACTAATAAGTGGTGAAAAATATAATTACTAAAATCTCAAAAGCAGGCAAAACAGTGGGGCAGGTATCATCGAATGCCTGAAACAGATAGAAACCTAGTATGATGGCAGACTTAACTGCAGTCATATCGGTAATTACATTAAGTGTTTGGTGATAGGATTAATATCCAGAACATGTTTTGCAAAAAACACCTATAAACCAATAAGAAAAAGACTTCACAACGGAAACATTGGCAAAGGATATGAAGAGGAAATTCACAGAGGAAGAAACCAATTGCCTAGTAAATATGAGAAGATGTTTAACTGCCTTAATCAGGGAAATACAAATATAGATATGCAGTAAAATAATTAACTACCGTTTCACACTCATGGTGCTGGCAAAGGTTCTAAGTCCATTATCATTGAGTGTTGGTGAAGATGTGAAAACAGGCCCCCCTGCCCTGCTGCCGGTGGGATCACTGGGCACCATCTCTGGTGAGCGGTTTGGTGAGCCCAGGGAAGATGGAGGCACGCCTGTCGCCCCGTGTTCTGTGTCTCCTACGGTGCACAGTGACACATGTATAGATGTTCCTGGCAGCAGGTCTGTTTTCATTCCCCTCGGGAATGGAAAGTAAACTAGAGTTTACTTATTCAATGAAATATTATATAGTGGTTAAAATGAATGAACCAGATACGCTTGTTTAAATATGGCTATATCTCAAAAACAACGATTAAAAAAAAAAGTTCCAACAGGTTATGTACTGAATTACGTCACTCACATCAAATTTTAAAATACCAAAACCAGTGGAACGTACTGTTTACCGAGAGATGGTAAGAAAGGCAGCAAGAGAAGGGGGAACTCTAACCTCTGGGAAGGGGAGGGAAAGGACTGGATGGCACTGGCCCTATCTCTAGCCAGAACTTTCCATTTTGATAGAGAGGTCTGAGCTGACAGCCTGCTGAGTCCTGCACCTATTGCCTTCCCTGCCGCTCCACCCCCGACCTCCCTGGGGTCCCACTGGGTGAACAGATATATTCCACCTCTCCCCCCACCCCCCTTATAAGTTAGTTCCAGCTGGCTTTTCCTCGTTTGTAACCTGGTCAGGAGGCCTGCCTGTATTTTCTGGGTTTTTTGTTGTTGTTGTTGTTTTTTAAATTTCACTTCAGTTCTTGCCCCCTTCTAGGTAGGTACGCCATGAATACGTAAGTGAACCTGTCCAGGAAAGGGGGTCGCCAACTCCAGGGTCTACCGTGGCTTCTGGGCTCACTCTCATGGTTAGAAAGAGCATTCACACCAGGGAGCGAAACTGCAACTCGGGGTAAACAAGTCACTTCCCACTCGGCCTCAGTTTCCTCCCAAATGACGGGTCTGGCCCCTTCCAGCCCTAGCACTCTATGATTCCCGGAATTCGGTCCCTTCAGGTCGCAAACAACACTCGGGCATTTCACAAAAGCACCCGGCCCCCTTGCTACCCTTGGAACCCCAGCCCGCTTCCCTGGAACCCTCTCTGCACAGAGCTGGTCACATGAACTCGGGCTTTCTTCGGTGTGACGGGTGTCTTAGATCCCTTTGTGAGCGCAGGTTTGAAAGGGAACGAGCGGGTTCTGGGTTTGAGACGAGCAGGGGATCCGGCGGGGGGAAGGCTGTCGGAGCCAATCAAGCCGCCTCCAGACCCCACCACGTCGCCTGGGCTGCGCGCTGTTATTTCTCTTCGGCGCTCCCGCCTCCGGGTCTCGTCCTAGGGTGCCCGGGCAGGCGAAGACCCCAGGTGAGAGGCCCGGGGGTCCCGAAGGGTGGGAGGCCCGGGCGGTTCGGCCCGGGCTGCACGACGGGCTGGCCCGGGGCTCAGGGCGTGTCCGTCGCCGCCTGGCTGCTCGCTCGACACTGTTCGCTCCTACCGGCTGTAGATGGAGCTGTCTGGGTTCCTGCAGCCTCCGACGAGCCTCGGAGTGTTTCTCTTTAAACGGCCTGAGAGGGACATGCCTCCCAGGATGCAGTTTGTATCAACATGGCAGCTGCGGTGCAGCTCCCCTGCTGAAGAGGCGCCGGGACGGCAGCGCAGCTCGCAGCCGGGGCCGGAGCCG